TTTTATATATATATATATATATATATATATATATATATATATATATATATATATATGATAAAAAATATTTTACAACATATACTTAATTATATTGGCTACAAACCACAAGAAAATTACAAATACTGAATCCACAAACATATTGACATGTTGATAATGATTTGTAATATAAGGTATAATTATACACCAATAATTATTTGATACATGAAGCCACCATATTGTGTCCATTATATTTATTAATTGGCTACACATTAACAATCCAATTAATACTCTTTTTATATATATATGCAGCTTTCGATATACTTTAGGAATGCCTAACTCTTCCAATGTATCGTCTACAGCAGCAAGTCTTTTTATAAACATCCGCAATTTCTAAACAATATAAAATACAATAAAAATACAATTTATTTAGTTTTTAATATAAATTGCATTTGTATAAAAATTATTTAGACAATTAAATATTTTTTGCTTGTTATAAATTATTTTGAGTATTGAATGTATATGTGCAAATACCTTGTGTTTAGATATAGTCATAATAATAGATGCAACACTGACGAGAAAATGAATCTCTATATTGATTATACTAGAGATTGTCCAAAAATATTTTTCTACTTTAAGCGCGGTTATTGTATAATAATAAAAACAACAATAAGCAATCCACAATATCACATTACAGAAAATATTCAAATAAAGTTTCTTTGAACCATGGATGCCTAAGCCCAAAACAAACGAAGTTAAGAAAAGAGGACGTAAAGCTTGTTCTATAGTTGTTACCATAGTTATTACTATCTAGAATTCTAACCGTACACTAACATCGTATGTCTACTGGGTCTTATTTAGTCAACTTATAGATCGATCAAAGTGACAGAATAATGGATAGATAAAACGCATTAGCGTTATACACTATTTGACTTCTCCATAAACATACACAATGACATATTTCATTTATAGGTTTCATTTATAGGACAGCATTATATTACTGATGATAAAGTGGGTTTTCAGAGAAAAAGATAAATTCTTTAAAGTATATAATATTTTGTGACAACACTTTTATCAAAATATATGATAAATGAAACAATACATAGATATAGGCCGAGTACATGTTAACTAATAAACTACAAATGCAAAACATGGCATTTTCTCGGCAAGCGGGATTTTGGTTGCTAAAGTCTATTAATATGAAATAAATTCAATTAATTATATTATCAACTACGTGTCGCTTTGCTAGCAGACTTTCAACGTAGTAGCTCTATAATAAGTCGATGATCAATATTATTGATATCGATTAAAATCCTTTTTATTATTTCCCCCATCGGAAATATATATTGCGAAAAATATCACCTCAGCTAGAAATCGAATCGGCACATGGTAATATAATTAATATTAATTAATGGTAATATAATTAATTGAATTTATTTCATATTAAAAGACTTAGCAATCAAGATTCTGCTTGCCGAGAAAATGCCATGTTTTGTGTTGTAGTTTGATAAATAAAAATTAAGCGGCAATATTTTTAGTCGCTACTTAATTTACCCCCCCCCCCCCA